GGCGCGATCCCACTACTGAGCGGCACGGGGGCTTTGACCTGCTCCGTTTCCGACCTGGACCGGTGCACCCCTCCTTAGACGACCTGCTGGTCCCGGGCTCCCCCAGGAGCACCATATCGATACCGAACTTAGTGCGGACACCCGATCAGCGTAGCCCGCTGCAGCTCAGAGCTCCTGAGCTCAAACGATCCTCCAGCCTCAGCCTCCCGGTAACTTGGATTACAGGCGCGCGCCACCGCACCCGGCGATGAACGTGTCCGTTCACCAGGCTTTAGACTCTGGGAATCGTGACGTCATCACGGAGCACACTGCAGCGTCGGATAATAAAACTACAGCTGCAGCGATGGAGACTGTTTTCTCTGCTAAAACACTATGTGTCATTTTACATGAACATGCCCGCACCAGAGTACGACACAAAGAGTCAGTGTAATTTTAATGCTGCTATAAATGCTGATATAAATTCAAATCATTATGATGCCGTTTTGCTTCCATATTTACCTTTTAATGTTAAATCCTCTACAGACTTGACAACTTTTAAATCATTGGTTAAAACATATTTATTCACGTTGGCTTTTAATATATATAGTATTGTCTGATGCTTCCTCCTTTTATCTGTTGATTCTGTGTACTATGGACCGCAAGCGCCTGCAGAGACTAGTAAAGACTGTGGAGAAGATCACCAGGACTCCACTGCCCTCTCTGCAGAGCATTTACCACCGCAGGGTGTGTAGGAAAGCTGCCTCCATCCTCAAAGATCCCACCCACCCCCAGCACGGACTGTTCACCTTCCTACCCTCTGGCCGGAGGTTCAGAAGTGTGAAATGCAGGACCTCTAGACTGAAAAACTCTTTCTTTCCCTCTGTCATCAGACTCCTAAACAGCTGAGGAGTTTATTACCAGGAAATACGTGTTGTACTCTTTACATTCTCTGTTTGCACATGCATAATTGCACAATGACTGTTGACTGCTGCACATGTTGCTCCCATGCAGCATATATTCTTTTATTATATTGCTGCATTTGTTGCTGCTTAAAGTGTCCTAGATTTTGTTACTTATTTATCTACTTTATATTTCATTTGTATTTTGTGGCATTCATGTGGACGGCAACGCAAGAATTTCATTGTATAGGGAAACACGTTTCCTAACTGTGCATATGACAAAATAAACACTTTGAACTTTGGTGTTTTTATGTTCCTATGTTGTTTTATTTCTCTATTGATATTGTTTTACTCTGGATTTGCATTGCCGTGTAAAGTACTTTGTTTGACCAGACGTTGTTTTTAAAGTGCTATACAAATAAATTTTGATTGCTTGATTGATAATAAATACCATTTGTGATCATATTTAGAGAATTGGCTTGTGACCATAATGAGAAATTTAATTGGCTTAGTTGACCAGCGGTGCTCTTACACGCTGGTATATAAACAAACATGTCAGAGTGCATTTCCTCAGTGGAAAATCTTACTGATGTATGACCTGACAAGTCCGCCAGTATGCTAGCAATCTGCCAAATGTTCAAACTCACATGTCTCATAAAGGGGATGTGAGGTTACACACAGATTGTTTTATTCTTATATTGATATTATTTATTTTAGTTCTTGCCTTGCCCTTGTAAAGTACTTTGGTCAACCAGATGTTGTTTTTAAAGTGCTATATAAATAAATTTTGATTTGATTTGATTCATTGTTACATTTCTTCTAATTTACTGTTACAGAGATGTGCTGTTTGATTTTTATGATGTATGCAACCCAGAACAAAAACAGTATTATATCATAAACCTCTCTATCATATTCACAAATCAAAGGTTGGTAAAAGAAGACATATCTAAAATTTTCTCAGTGAAATGAAAGTATTCAGCACTCCACAAACTCTAAGGCAAGACCCTGACAATTACTTTATTCAAATTATATAATTTTCTAAACTGCCAAACTTCTTTTTTCTTCTTCTGTCTGTTATTGATTACTATTTTTAATGTTACATTTGACTGTTAAGATGATTATGTTTAACAACAACAATAATAGTTAATGGTACAGCCTAGCAACTAGGGGGAAGGAAAACAGTGACACACCGGAACACGTTGGGTCATTTCCGCCAATAACAAATCTGCTAGCTTTCTGCAATTTACAACTGTATTGTTTGTGCTAGTCATCCCAAGTGTGTAAAATAGTTAGGTAGTGATTATTTGGAAGCGAGGAAATAATGTTAGGAGACGCTCAGCTAAGTATTACACAAATGCTATAATAAGTAACTGTTTATGTGATTCCACAAACAAATGATTCCGCCTAGTGTTAGCTAACAAAAGCGTTGGACTGACATGCTAAGTTACTTTAGCACGTAATCAGATGTCAGCCTGCTATTGCTTTGTAGTTATTGATTATTAACATGTCTTGAGACTGGTTTGCTCTCTTGTCAGGTTGCTAGATAGGCAGATAAAATACCAAAAATTGAGCAAAGAAGAGCAGCCGTAGTTTTTGGCCTGTTTAGGTAATTTACTAATCGCGAAGCGTTCAGCTGACAAGACTCTCTCCAGGTGAATTTACGTTACTAACATTGAATGTTTAGAAAGGTTTATGTGTATCACTGCAGTGTCACAATGATCTCCGTTGGTGTTTAATCTATACAGATCAGTACGTACTGCAGATTTTCAAGATGAAGATGTTCTCAGTATCCCACAAGACTGTCTTTGTGGTGGACCATTGTCCCTACATGTCCGAGTCAAGTCGCCAGCAGGTAGAATGTGACGTGCTGACAAAGAGCCGAGCTCAGGGGGTTATTCCTTTGGCCCCTGTGTCCAAGTCACTGTGGACCTGTGCTGTGGAGTGCTCTATGGAGTACTGCAGGATCCTCTACGATATTTATCCGACGAACAAGCTGGTCAGTTTTCTTTCTTTTTTAATTTTAGTTTTAGGTTTTAACGTTTAGCTCAAGCTGTCTCTCCACCATCTTTTTAAATCACTGTAGTCATAGTGCATAAGTGATATTAATATCAATGTTATTAACATGTTGTCACTGCTTTATTTTACAGGTTAATTACATTGTAAGTGATTCAGAATTCCACATACTGAATAGCTGGAGGCAGGAGGAGCAGAGCACTCACGAGGTAATGCACTGCCTATTAGGGTTGCAATGCTATGAGATTTTCATGGTATGATAACCGTCTCAGAAAATATCATGGTTTCATGGTATTATAGTATATGGTATTACACAATCCTTATTGTTGTTTCAGCTACAATGACCCTCAAAGGAATGAAAACACAAAGGTTTTTTTTATTTACAAGTGACTATGAGTGTACTGATGTGGACTGCAGAGCTAGATTGACCCTAAAGAATAAACAGAATTATAAAAATTATTTAAAAATTAGCATTTTATATTACTTGACAACAGTGAGAAATGCCA